CAACAATGAAATCATATTGTTGAAAAATACAGTTTAGTGATTTACATACTCTGGCCATATATTCGAACATTGTGTTTTTGATAATTATACTTTCGGAAGAATGTTCTTATTGAAATTTCTCGTTATTCAGGTAATGAAATTGATTCAATTTGAGAAATAATATTTTGTTCTTATATCAATATTTCAGGAAATAATCTTCACGAATATTACCCGACTTAAACATTTTCACAGATGAATGTCTATTTTTTTTATTTCAAAGTTTGTTAGTTTTGCTAAAAAATGAAGTTTTCGCATGCAAATGAAAATTAATCAATGAAATTTCGAGGTCTGTTGATGATCTCTTTGATAAAACGCTTTCTTAGAATATCTAGCTATAATATTGCTAGCGATGAAATGATGGCTAATTAATGACACATCTATGTGTCATTGATAAAATTAATTTTTATTTCATCGATGTATCCAGCTGAAAATATCTCAGGAAATAATCCTTACGAATCTAAAAATTTTCTCAGATAAATGCACATTTCTCAAACTCAAACTTTGTTATATTTGAGTAATACCAATCAAGCAATCAGCACTAGCAAAAACAATTCGTTCTGCGGTTTCGTGGATTTATCACGCTGGTTACTTTTATGCTAAATAATGAAGTTTTCGATGCGAAATTTTGAAGGTTTGTGGCGTTGTAGTAGACTGTATATTTTGCTAGATTCTCACTTATTTGTCATTATCTCATTGTAATAAAATTCAAAGATTATGTGGTGACCATTCTGTATGTTTATGTTCCTTTACCTGTCAATATATTTCATTACAAAAAACAGATATCTCAACATTACCATCATTCATTTCAATATTATTGTTTCGATTGTCATTTTTACTGAGATGGTTAATCATCTGCCACAGTGTTTTCGACTTATTATTGGATTTTGCATTTATATGCAAAAATTTGTGCGAGATGCTTGCTCACAGTTTTATAGCCTCTTCTTCCCTGGCACACTCTGAATAAAGCGAAATTAAGCCTTTGAATTCCTGCGTGATAATATAAGAATTTTTTTTTCTGTTCACGAAAACGAATTGATGGAAAAGCCACTTCAATGTAATAATGAATTATATTATGGAATATGTGATACGCAAGATTTGGGCAGGTAATGCCATCAAAATCTTATTGTACAGATGCGCTCTGAGAGCCCCTTAAGGAATTTCCTGTAGTGTAGTTTTGTCCTTACAAAAATTAACTGCGCTTCGGAAATGGAAGTTGCGTACAAAAAA